ACGGCTGAACGGGCGAGCATGTTTGGTGTGACGGGGATTCGAACCTGCGACTCTCAGATTGCGAGTCGAGTGCCCTAACCACTTGGCCATGCCGGACCTGAGAAGAATTCAATAGAAGTACTTGCAAAAACTTTGTGAAACCCAAGAAAAAGAAGGTTTGGTTTCAATTTCGCGCAAAGCTACATGAGGGCTATCTGTACAAGCTGTCCCTAATTTAGCAGTGAAAGACTAGAGGGAAGACAGCTAGTGGCCACCACCCACCGCCAACTCTGGGGCCACTCTTTTACCAAACAAATAGTAGAATTGACCGTACATTATAACGCACCCACGGCTGAAATGGCGAGATGTTCGTGGCGGGGTTTGAACCCGCGACCCTCAGATTGCGAGTCGAGCGAACAAGAAGGACTCGGTTTCAGTAACGGATTAGATCTCAGGCGTATACGGTGGGTTAGGCAGAAAATTAATGTCGCTCTCGCTTGCCAGGCACTTAATTCCTTAGTAGCTGATATTATTGGTTTTCTTAGGAGTGGTGTTGAACGTCCTTATTTTTATATATTTTTATTAGCTGAAACTGACTTGTCAGATAATTTTATCTGTTGTATTATTGACACTATAACGTGACATATTGACTACGAATATCTTCAAACACTAAACTTACTTGATCTTTTTACTGTTCAGTTTGATGATTTTAGCATTAAGTATAGAATGTATGTTTTCCATATGATGATTACGGTTTATTCATACTATTTTTCACCAATGTACTTAAAGTTCTTCAATTTGGAAATTGTATATTATTTCATTTGACCTTATTTATATATATATAAGCTGCAAATCGCACAGTTTCTTCTCTGTATAGCTTTTGTGTAAGATTACTATTTAGTGTAGAACATTTCTGACAACTTTATTAATATTAAAGGTTTCTTTCTGTGATTACTTATATTGTACGTGAAATACCTGTACACGAACATTAAAATGTGCTTCAAATTCAGTTCATGTTTGCAAGAACACAATTTGTCGATTATAATCGACTTTGGTGTTCGCGTATTTTACTGACAAATCCCTAGATGGGGCTAATTAAACTTTTTCGTTTGCTATTATAATACAAAAAAATTATTTAGAAATTATTTCTTGAAAACTAAAATTCTTAATTCGAAATGAAATGAACACTAAATTAGATACTGTAAACTCGACAGGTATCAAAACTTTATGCTCCCAGATGGCATAGCAGTAAGTTTGAGAATTTATCATGCTAAATCTTCTTCTTTATTGGGATTCGATCGATATTTTGGACCAGGAAAGGTCAGGTTCATCATGCTACAAACATTATTTAAAGGTTGGTTTGAATTTCGCGCAAAGCTACACGAGGGCTATCTGTGCTAGACATCCCTAATTTAGCAGTGAAAAAAGGCAATTAGCTATCACCACTCACCGCCAACTCTTGGGCTACTCTATTACCAACGCTTAGCGGAATTGGCCGTCACCTTATAACACCCCCACGGCTGAAAGGGCGAGCATGTTTGGTGGGACGGAAATTCGAACAAACGACTCTCAGATTGCGAGTCAAGCGCCCTAACCACCTGACCATACCGGCCCATTATCTAAAGGCATTACGTCCGATTGATCTATATCATACAAACAATAGACATGTGGTAGGTTGTTTCTAAAAATGGACAGGTTTCCTGCCTCTCCAAGTGTTGCTGTTCACTGTTGCAAATATACATGACATTGTTCTGACACTTTGATAAATTAGGTTTATGCTATGAATCTTTACTTTTCAATTGGAAATTAACAATAGTTTCGGAAAACCTTGGAAAGTTGAGCTGTAACATGCGCAGATTTGTCTCGTGAAATTTAAATGCCATACTTCTTGTTAAGATACGTTACCTTCGACAAGACGGCGGTAGCACAGGCACGACTTGTAGTGCATATACATACAGCTCAAGAAATTTGATGGGAAAACAGTGGCCCCTCATTTAACGTAGAAAACGTATATTTTGACCGTGAAATAAAGGTCCATCGTGTGATATAAAAAATACGAAGTTATGTTATTTACAGAACACTCGCAGTCTTATATATATGGATATAGATTACCATAAAACGTTTATCTTATATAACTAGTGACGAATGTATAAACCAATCACAGTTACATGGGTAAATATAAACGTTTCAACACTATCTGTAAGAAGTCGTTGGATAACGGTAAAAACAACAACAACAGCCAACTTTACATCCGTTAGTAACAAGACATAAATGCAATGCTAGTGTAACCATCTGTCTAGAAATAACCAATTTAACTACGTACGTTTATCTTTACGTCTATCAGCCTGTTTTTTTTTGCGCGTATTAAAAAACTATCAGATATGGCACGAAGTCGAATGTATTTTCATTCCGTTAATATTTTGTTTGCATAACGAGATAATTGCTTAATTAAGTTATTTATTCTTACTTGGTCCTTTTCTATAAAGCCAACGAAAGCAGTCCTTTCCACTTCCACAGGTTGTCCCGTTTTATCGTATAGCGCCACCACGAAGTGAAAGAAGTTACTTTTCCGCAGATTGGACGGAGGCTGCTTCTCCAGATGAGCACGTCCTAAACCAACACTGAAAAAAAATTACCCCACTTAAATGTTGTGTTTTGTTTTAATGACAAAGGTCAATTCTCTAGATGAAAGTACAAAATAACTATACATATCAGCTCTTGTTCATAATTTATGGAACCTAGAATTAGTGAGATATAGCATACTCACAAATCTGGCCGACAGAGGTAGCCTCAGATATTCAAAGCTACACAAACGGGTACCTGAGCTCTTCCCACCACGGGTATCGAAACCCGGTTTCTAGCGTTGTAAGTCTGCAGACTTACCGCTGTGCCACTGGGGGCGTATTGATTCGAGATTTCTGTTTTAACACATTACTAATTCACTGTGAATAATGACAGAATTATAATTATTTTACAAGAAACGAGGAAGCTTCACAAGTCCTCATTGTTAAGTCTTGTCTCTCAGTAGGGCGAAAACAGTTATCATATTATACTTTCCATTTTTTTTTTTTTACTTATCCGTTGTGATTCTGATATAAATAACAGCTAATTTATTGTAAATAAAACACAAGGCTATGCATCCAATAATAAAAGAAAAAAACTTTCCTGACTTCAAGATTTACAATAATTTTCTTTATTTGTTGAATTTCACGTAAAGCTATACTCGAAGGCTATCTGTGCTAGCCGTCCATGATTTAAAAGAGATAGACTAGAAGATGGCGGCTAGTCAACATCATCCACCGCATTGATTGAAATTGACCGTCACATTATAACGCTCCCACGGCAGAAAAGTGCGCACATTCGGTGACGGGATTCGAACCAGCGACCAGCAAATTGCGAGTACACCGCCGCCCTAACCAGAAAAGAGTGGTAGTGCTCTAGATTTGTTTGTTTCTTTAATGTTAAGCACAAAAATACACAATGGGCTATCTGTGTTGTGCCCACTACGGGTATAGAAACCCGAATTCTAGCGTTATTTTAGCTGAGCCACTGGGGTATGGTAATGCTCTAGAAGTGGCACAGTTATTATAATGTTGCATTTAAGTAATTTTTTTTAAGATATAAATCTTAAGATATATTACTCTTACTTAAGACGCTTTTTAAAAAGACAGGATGTGATGTTCTTACCGTCAAGCCTAACTTTCTAGAATTGTAATACAAAATTATCGAAATACATGTATACTTATAGACTTTGGTATCATTTAGAAGTTCACTGATGACAGCTTCACACCATGTATGTTTGTACTGAGCCTTTGGTTTCATTTATATGTCCGCTATTGACTGCTTCACACCATGTATGTTTGTAGACTTTGGTTTTATTTAGGTGTCCACTACTGACCGCTTCACGCCAGTATCTAAGGGATGTCACGGTCTCTGTGTTCTTATTGGTGGTTAGGCTTTAGTGCCCAGAAAGGTGACCTTTCCCATCCTCCACGTGCGGTTATTTGCCTGCTGATTACATACTCGATCCTCTTGTTACTGCAGTAACTTACCTTTCAATAACCTCGAATAACACAAGGATTTAATAACTTTCGTACTAACTACCACTTAATAGTGCAGATACAAAGTTCATCTACAGTAACACTATACATGTTGTTTTTGGACATTCTTACCCATACATAGACTACTTGATGTAAATTATACTTAAAAAATTCGATTTTATATCCTTTCATGACCCTCGGTGGGTCAGCAGTAAATCTCCAGGTTTACAACGCAAAAAATACGAGGCTTGATTCCCTGCGGTGAACAATGCAAGTAACCCCTTGTGTAGTTTTACACTAAAAATAACACCAACACCAGCTCTCCTTTCACCTATATATAATGGTGCTTTGATTGGTAAACTCAAACTTAATTTTTAAATTATTCACTTGTTAACTTACCTCGATGAACAATTATACAAATAAAACACAATATTTAATCATACGAATCATAATACTAATCTCTTATGACAAGTATAATTAATTATAATCACACTTCATAAGCTTAAAAGGCGTTCACACCATAACAGTTGTTGTTGTAATAAGTGACTTATATAAATAGTGTTCTGAACACTAGTGTACTTTTGTTTCAACCGGCCTGACGAGCTTCGTATTGAGCGAAACGCGTCGTCGGCAATGGATAAGGCGAACACAGTGTGGTTGAAATACTATTATACACTACTAATTCTTGAAAACCCCTGAGAGACTGAATAAACAATGTAGTATTAAAAATATAATAGGCCTAACACTAATATCTTATGACAAGTAAAATTAATTATAATTATGCTTCTCCAGCTTAGAAAAGGCGCTCACACCATAACAGTTCCTAAAGCACAATATAGTTAAAACAAAGAACGAACACATTTTGGATTGGTTGGTTGTTCTGAACTTCGCGCATAGCTACACGAGGGCTATTTGCGATAGCCGTCCCTCATTTAGCAGTGTAAAGCAGTTAGTCATCACCACCCACCGCCAACTCTTGGGCTACTCTTTTACTAACGAATAGTGGAATTGACCGTCATATTATATCGTCCCCACGGCTGAAAGGGCAAGCATGTTTGGTGTGACGGAGACTCTAACCCGCGACCCGCAGATTGCGAGTCGAGCGCCCTAACCACCTGGCCATTTGGTAAGTTGTGTCAGAAGATGGATATGCTTGTACGATTACTCGTACAGGTAATTGAACCAGATCCAGTTTTATAGTATTTTTTGTTTAAAATGTAATATTTTATTTTCAAATCATATTTTTTGTATTGCTATGTATGGAAGCGTTCGTTATGCTGGTGACAAAACTGTACAAAATCATTATATTTCGACTGATTTCCCATTCATAATCATAATCATACTTAAAGAAAAACAATTATCCGAGAATCTCCGAAAAAACTTATGTTTTCTTTTTAATTTGAATTGACATTTGGATAAACCAGTAAGAAACGGTTATAGCGTCATAAGTTAGGCTTCACTAGATATTCGTGGATTTTTAATTTGTATCTCAAGAAACTTAATCCCTTATCAACTCTTATATATTTCCTTTATTTAACGCTTATAATGTGATCAGACAGAGACGGGTTCTTTTAAAAAATAATTATCCAGATTTGATTCAAACATCCGCCAGACAAATGATCTTTGCATTGAGTTTAGTAAATTTACATACATGTGTGCGTGTGTGTGTGCGCGCGCACATATTTGTATGTACATATTATGAATATCCCTCAAAGTACTTTTATTATTATTTGTTGTTGTCTTTTTTTAATTTGATAAGATACTTCTGTCTGAAATTCGAGTTTTTTGAGCATGCGCCTTGACACAATGCTAAAATTGGGATTCAAAGTAGGCTCTCTAGTTCAACGCCCTTAAGCGCTTCCGGTGAAAGTCCTCTAACTCATGATGGTGTAGTTTGGTTAGTGAATGTTAGGTTTGACTTAACGTTTAATCTAATGGTTTGGAGAAGTAAGGGTACTAGTCGAAGCAAATCAAATATTTCCTTCTGGAGAATCCACTTCGCACTGAAGCGAATCAGTATTATATAACACAGAACGTTCAGTTATTTGGAGAATTCAGTTCCTAACCCAAGAAAGAAACTCGATACATGTGGATTCTTAGAACATTTTAGTTTCAAGACGCATAAGCTGCCGTACGATAACCTAATCTTCTCCAAATATGAATACTTTAGGATATTTTTGTTTCAGAAATTTAAACCAATCACCTTAATAGCAAGCGAGTGAACTACTCTTATTCTACGACCGTCTATATGGATCGTTATTATAATCATATCAGCCTACTTTTATTATTTCCATTGTATACAGTTTCTAGGGGGGAAAGGTATTGGATATTACTTAAAGGATTGTGTGCTTTGGAAAATAACAATTTAAACGTTATTGAGGCTATTATCTGTGATGTCCCCCGGTGGCACATCGGTAAGTCTGCGGACTTATAGCTCTAGAAACCGGGTTTCGATACCCGTGGTGAACACAGCACAGATAGCCCATTATGTAGCTTTGTGCTTAACAACAAACAAACAAACAAGTATTTGTGATGGAGCTGGAGGGAAGTAATGTAGTTGTATACGAGCCAACTAGAATTGGAGGGAAGTACTGTAGTTGTATACGAGTCAAAGAGAATTGGGGGGAAGTAATGTAGTTGTATAAGAGTCAAATATAATTGGGGGAAGTAATGTAGTTGTATAAGAGTCAAATAGAATTGGGGGAAGTAATGTAGTTGTATACGAGCCAAATAGAATTGGGGGAAGTAATGTAGTTGTATACGAGTCAAAGAGAATTGGAGGGAAGTAATGTAGTTGTATAAAAGTCAAATAGAATTGGGGGAAGTAATGTAGTTGTATACGAGTCAAAGAGAATTGGAGGGAAGTACTGTAGTTGTATACGAGTCAAATAGAATTGGTGGAAGTACTGTAGTTGTATACGAGTCAAATAGAATTGGTGGAAGTACTGTAGTTGTATACGAGTCAAATAGAATTGGGGGAAGTAATGTAGTTGTACACGAGTCAAATAGAATTGGTGGAAGTACTGTAGTTGTATACCAGTCAAATAGAATTGGGGGAAGCAATGTAGTTGTATACGAGTCAAAGAGAATTGGAGGAAGTAATGTAGTTGTATACGAGTCAAATAGAATTGGGGAAAGTATTGTAGTTGTATACGAGTCAAATAGAATTCGTAAGACTAAGAGTTAAAATTAATCATAGTGTTTCCACCTTTAGATTTACATAAATATCCGAAACAGGTTCTGTACCTCGGAGCCGGACATATCTTAAACTCTGATTGTATATTGGAATATAACGCATATATTTATACGTATTAGTAGGTCTGTTAAGCGTATTCCTGTTGAAAGACTAATATTTAAAATGAACTGTGAGCCTCGTGTTGTTAATGGTGAGTTAAGTTTAAGGTACTATTCCAATGGTGAGGTGCAACATTTAGTCTTATAAATATTCCTATAGCGGAAGGGGAGGGGGAGACATAAGTGTTTTTTATGGAAATTTAAAAAAGAAAATCTTCATCGGTTCACATCAATGTTTGCCAAAAACAGAACTTTGCGAAGTTTTCTGTGATTCATGCAAACGCCTGGTAAAGTTCTTATTCAGTCTCTTTTGTTAGCTTCAGTTATCTCCGTTAAACATTCGTAAAGCTTCAGTCTCTTTTGTTAGTGTTAGTTCTCTGCGTTAAACAGTCATAAAGCCTAAACTAGTCTCTTTTGTTAGTGTCAGTTCTCTGCGTTAAACATTCGTAAAGCTTCAGTCTCTATTGTTAGTGTCAGTTCTCTGCGTTAAACAGTCTTAAAAGCCTAAACTAGTGTTTAACTAAAACATAATAATAACAAATATGTAAATGATTAACACTAGAATAAGAAATGACATCTTCTCACCACTCGAATACGGGGAAACATATACCTACATGATTAACACTGGAATAAGAAATGACATCTGCTCACCACTCGAATACGGGGAAACATATACCTACATGATTAACACTGGAATAAGAAATGACATCTGCTCACCACTTGAATACGAGGAAACATAAACTTACCTGCCGGTTCCATGGTCGATGACAGTCGGTTGAATCCAACCGCTCCGCATTGCCCCGACCTGTGCGGCACAAAGAGACTCCTCCTTCAAGCTGACCGCGGGGCCGCGGGGATGAAGCCCAGGGTCCGTCGGCCCGAACATCGACCACGCCGTCCTCACGGTTGCTTTTACTGACCCAGCATGCGCCGAACAGTCACAGCCGACAGGTTTTCTGTGTTCGTTTGATGAAAGATTATTTGGATTTAAAAGAAGCGTGTTTGATGTGGGAAACTAACGGATACGTCACTAATATTCAAAATTGCGTGTACAAAAGACTGTCGCGTGTGGCCAGCGCAGAAAATAGTTACGAGGAAATCAATTTCACCGCTATGTACGATCTCTTATCACGCAATATGGAATGCCTTCAGAACTCAGTACTAGTTCTAAATGTTAAGTAGATAAAACTACCGTAGAACCTAGTGCCGATTCTAACTGTTAAATGCATGAAGCTACAAGCTAAGCACCGACGCCAAAACTGTTTCTAAACTACTGTTTAGGTAAATTGCCTTTTACTTAGGTAAATGCTTTTTTACTTAACAGCTTTTCCCCAATCTTTAAATATTTAACCTTCCCTTGAAGACTAACTTACCCTACGAAGGGTTACTTGGAACCACGAAACCTAGCAACTATTTTTCAGAGTTGGTATCGTATGTGAAATAATATGTAATGAATACAAATGTTTTTCTGGTGCTGAGAAATACAGTAGAGAATTTCAGTAGTTCCTTTGGGTTACAGTAAACAAGACTGATACTTCCCTGAAGAAGACGTCCCCTTTCAGTTCTACTGCTAGAATTAGAGCCGGAACTGCCACGTTAGGCTCTGGGCTTAATAACATCCGTTATGATGTATTTTAAACACTGATCTGGTAGCTTTGCGTTGCCACCAGGAGTAAAATGCAGTAATTTCCGTTCATTCGCCAAGTCCCTGCCGCTTTGAAAGAACGTGAACGCTACTCGGCCAACAGTGACCGTCGATTTGACGGCATTTGTTCTCATGGGGCGCGTTTTGTGCGCACTCGATCACATGGGTAGAGGAACTTCCCCAAGGAATACGCCCCCTAGGGACGGTTGGTGGCAATACTGCCTACAAACAAATTGAAGCTCCACCCTCATGGGAAGAAAGCATCCAATTGAGAGCATGTGACTTGGGTTTCCACCAATGATTATTAGCTGGAGGTAGATATTGCTATACATTTCGTATTGTAATTGTTTTCGTGACTATTAGTTTGACTCGTTAAGAAGAATAAGAGTAACCATTTGTAAAAGTCATATTATCTATGTCTAATCATCTAATGGTTCAATAGCACTAAAAATACAAGTTTTATTTTATATATATATGTGGGTGTTTTTTTTTATTGCCAAACATTTTTCATTATTCTCCAATTTCAGTTTAGTTTCGTTAGGATAGTTTTAGCTCTGTACTTTTCAATATTGCCCTTCACAACAGGAATCAAACCATGAATCTTAGCGTTATAAGCCTCTAAGCCTTTCTTTGAGTCACAGTTGTTGGGAGTAGATGTGGAAATGCTACTATCATGAATGGTGATGCTTACAGAGGCGGATTAAGAATTTTTCGAGCCCTGGGCACGAAAAACACTAAAGGTCCCAGCCCCATTAAATCACAAACTTGTAATAAAACACATGAATAAATAGGCCCTTATAATGTTTGAACACTGTATTAATAATAAACTAAGTCATATCGCAGTATATCACACTCTAATGAAACTGTTGAATTTTGTCAAATAAAAGGAAATTTAAATAAAATTACAGATTGCTTTAGGAAAAATATGAAAGATTGTATGGAGATGTTTTGTGTTACTATAGATGTTACCGGGGCGTCCTATTTGGCTGCGTTAATCCGCCCTGGCTGAGTATTATTGAGGTACAGACAACATTACTATCAAATATAAATGTTAATAACGTTAAAGCATGAACAATAACATCGGTTTGTAAACATTATATATTATTACAAACGTTGAAATGTTAGTATTAGAAATGTTAACTTAATGCTACTAAGTGTAAACATTATATAGTATTACAAACGTTGACTTAATGCTACTAAGTGTAAACATTATATAGTATTAGAAATGTTGACTTAATGCTACTAAGTATAAACATTATATATCATTACAAATGTTGACTTAATGCTACTAAGTGTAAACATTATATATTATTACAAATGTTAACTTAGTGCTACTGAATTAGAAACAATATACTAAAAGATGATCCACAAATTATTCGATAAATTAAATCTTCTGTGGTGGTGAATTACTATACACAGAAACTGATGCCTACCCAAATTTCAATTTCGATAGCCTTCCCTAATTTAACAGTAATAGACTAGAGGGAAGGCACAACTCACCGCCAACTCTTGGGTTACTCTTTTATTAACGAATAGTTGGATTGACCGTCATATTACAACGAACCCACGACTGAAAGGGCGAGCATGTTCGGTGTGACGGGGATTCGAACTTGCGACCCTCAAATTTCAAGTCAAATTGCCAGGCCAGATCAGGTCCATCTAGAGTCAGCTACTATTCGAAAAAATTATCACTTTCACGTCAGCGCCGGTGCTAGTGGTGGGGGAATTATGTGTCTCATTGCCCGCTCCCCACTTTCCCAACTAAAAAGAAAGTTGGAGGAGGGACTGTTTCACATGTGTCACTTTTCGCTTATGTGGAATAATTAACCAACTTAATGAACACTGTCTGTATAGGAACGGTAAACCATAGTAAATACACGTTCCGTCGATGACTGACTAACTTCCTTATATAGTTTTACTGGAATTATAGCTTCTTGTATATTGTACAATCAGTAACAAAGTAGGTTTACCTCCACCATAACATTTAGGACCACCCTGTATTTTATTAAATGATAACCTAGTGAGAGTGAATTTAAAACGTCATACTATCGTTCAAAATTATGATTTTAGCGATGCTAAGTTATAAACATTATGATATTATTACAAATGATGACATAGCGATGCTAAGTTATAAACATTATAATATTATTACAAATGATGACTTAGCGATGCTGAGTTATAAGCATTATGATATTATTACAAATGATGACATAGCGATGCTGAGTTATAAACATTATGATATTATTACAAATGATGATTTAGCTATACTGAGTTATAAACATTATAATATTATTACAAATGATGACATAGCGATGCTGAGTTATAAACATTATGATATTATTACAAATGATGACATAGCGATGCTGAGTTATAAACATTATGATATTATTACAAATGATGACTTAGCGATACTGAGTTATAAACATTATGATATTATTACAAATGATGACATAGCGATACTGAGTTATAAACATTATGATATTATTACAAATGATGACATA